AGTCTTTTCCAGGCTCCCTCTATTTTTGAATATAACCCCAGCAAATAAAGCAGAGAAAGACTGCAATTAGATAGATATAGAGAGAGATAATTGAGTCAAGCGAGCGGTAGTGACCGTAAGTAAAGTGCGTGAATTGTTGTGAATTATAGCGTGTGTTTAAGTTAAAGTGACTGTGGAAATTCTGTGTATTGCAAAGTTGTATTGAGAAAGAATAAACTAGTTTTATTTAAGAGAGTACTTGTATCGCTGAAGTTCCTCGGGAAGAATTTCTACGGGAAATTAACAAACAAGCAGATACGTAACAATATTTTAATATAGTACAAATGGGTAATACATTTAAACACGACTTGTGTAGAGCTAGTAATATTATTTTATCGTAGGTGACGGTAAGTTGCTTGTATTAAATTATTAGGCATAATTCAGTTTTATCGGTTTGTTACAATTATTTTGGTTCGTTTTTCAACTTCTCTTTTTTCTTTCTTTTTTTTTTTTTGTTGTTGTTATTCAGTGTAAAATTGTGTATCTGAAACTCAACCATCATATTTAGAAAAATCTGAGATTACAGTTGTTTCCCGAAGAAGACAACAATTCAAGTTAAAGTTTTGTGCTTGAACAATTTTTATTGCACCCTATTGTGACTCAGCGGTAATTCTCGGGGCTTATAACGCTAATTATTGGGTTTCTGTACCGGTAGCGGGCAGAGCATAAATAGCCTATTATGTAGCTTTGCGCTTAGCAACAAACAAAGAACAATATTATCATATCAGTGCTCAGCGTTAAGCAAGGACTTATACTATGTTTGTTTTTTCACACACGACTGCAAAAAAAAAAAAAAAGTTTTTGATGATAAAGTAAGAAAAAACTACCTTTACACTCCAGATAATAAAGAGAGAACTTTTATTTTAGCGAGCTTTTCGTCTTCGGAGCTAGTACATAAAACGAATTATTAAACAATAAAGAACTTTAATCTTAAAAAAATAAACGTAACATTTTCAGTATTAGAAATCTAAATTATAGGTTATAAGGATGTTTTGAAGTATGGGTAAAAAACAACAACATACAAATAAAATTCAGATATATTATACGACATTTTTCGAAGTCACTAACGGAATATGTCGTGCCTTGCTTTTTGGTGTATATGGGCATAAACACGTCAGCTAAATAAGTGCATAAGTGTTACTATAGTAATATAAAGGTCTAACCGGGCATGTTTTGATGAAACTGGGATTAGAAGACTGAAGACATTTCATAGTATTAATACGCCTACTTCAGCGGATTTTATTTCTCGTATATCGACGTTAATGTTAAGCTAAGACGTAAAAGTATGTATATATGTTTATCTATAAATTAAATTGATATTTTTGTTCTAACTATAAATTTTACAAATGTTGATGTTAATTTTTACGTTTTACTTAGTTGCTTTTACTTTCATGTGTCATTTTTATTTTTACTTTCGTGTTTCTATATCACTAATTATTAGTATTACTATATTACTAATATTATTAGTGTTACTAATAGTGATACTTTAGTATATAGTATTAACATTAACTGACAGAAGTTAACTTGAAGTTTTAACTTTAAGTTCTTCTAAGTTCTACAGTTTTAGACTGGATCTTTTTTGTGGTCCTAACATTAACAACAGAGTTGTTACTACGTTAGACTGGAACAAAGTCATACTCATACAATTACTATTAGTAATAAACGTTAATGTCTTGTGTATAGCTATTTATTAAAACTATAATCTAAAGGCCAAACCTACTATGATGTTAATACTAATGAGAGTTAAGGGTAGCTTACTAAATCAAAAATCGGAATTCTTCAAATTAAAAAGACCTCTAAAAATTCTTAAAACTTTTACTAAGTTTTTAGTATTTGAGTACACTATGAACATATGAAATTTAATATTTAAGAATAACAAATTTTTAATAGAATGTGCAACAAGTAAGTCAAATATTGTAAACGGTAAAGAGAACATATGATGACAGAAATTGTTATGGCTAGAGTCCTAAGAATTGAGTAAGATTAGAACAAGGCTCTTAAATTACAATAAGCACAAGTGTACCTGCATCTTGTAACTTAGAGCAGGTGAATCATAATGGTTATTGTTAGTTTACTTCTGTGGGTTATATGTCTATTGATTGTAGCCCTTATGATTCTAAATCAAAAGGTTTTAACTTTTAGACGTCTGACCAAGAGTCAATTGGCTCCATTAATTATTGTCAAACATGAAGCAATTTCAGATACCTTATGACTATTTGGTTTAGAAGTAACCCTTAAAACTAACAAAACTATCTTTCTGAAGCAGTCCTACATGGAAATGGTTTTTCATGTTATCTCTTTGCTACAGGGCCAAAATACTTGGTTTTTATTTGTCAATCTCATTTTGTAAATTTGGGGTACAAGTTCACTAAATCTCTAGGGTGGCTGTTTTATTTTAGGAATATTTTTTTATCTTTGTACATTTTTCTTATTATTAAATTGCAGATCAAATAAAATTATAGTTTGTTTTTTAGTGAAAAAATTTGTACGAAATCATTGAAATTTATGATGATAGAAAACAAAGTGTTTAATGTATAAAAACGTATAAACCAATATTTAATTACAATATCTGTACTAAAGTCTTTATCAAAACTTTGAATGCATCATAAAAATGTCATTCAGGAGTGTGTGCAAGAATTTAATTTTATCCAGTCTTCTTTTTGTTTTTATGGGGGAGGGGATTCAAAAGTTAAGTACCAGCTGACTGTGGTTGAATGTGTAATTGTTACCAATAAAAGACAGTGTTGACTGTCATCCATTCCAGATGTAGTTAATAATCAGCCTGCTTCTGAATTTCAGGCAGACGTAATCTGTAGTAGACTTAGTTAATATTCAGCCTGCTTCTGAATTTCAGGCAGACGTAATCTGTAGTAGACTTAGTTAATATTCAGCCTGCTTCTGAATTTCAGACAGACGTAATCTGTAGTAAATTTAGTTAATATTCAGCCTGCTTCTGAATTTCAGACAGACGTAATCTGTAGTAAATTTAGTTAATATTCAGCCTGCTTCTGATGTTCTATAAGTAAATGGTGCCTTTATGGTTTTCTTATGAGGAAATGGACATGTTATCCAATATGTATGTAAAACTTGAAATTTCTAAACGACAGAATGAATGGTCTCGTGGTCATTACCAAAATGGAATGCTCGGGTTTCTCTATCTACATTTTAACTCCCCAGGACATACTTTGAAGATTCATGGGTACAGTCCATAGAATTCATAGCACATGAAGATTTATATAGTTTGCTTGTTAAACTTATTTAAGTAGAAGATATTGTGTGAGAATGATAGTTAAAAGTTACTCTACAAATTTTTTTAAGGACATCTACAACAGTGCACAGTTAGTTGTGGTCTGTAATTAATGTTACTTTTGTTAATAGAATAATTAAATGTATTATATATCTTTTTTTTGTTTTTATTTTTAAGTTTTTGAGGTTTTGTTTTTATTATACAAACTTCTTGTTAACATGATATATGGTTTTCAGAATAACTTAATTCTTCGAAGCTGGTTGAACTTCATGAGATATTGGGAAGATGACCAAAATTACAAACAATACATTCTAATCATTATAAGTAAGAATTAGCTATATTAATTACTGGGTTGAGTTTTAGTTCTCATCTATATTTGTAGCTTGTTTTGATCAGAAGTTAGTTAATGTACACTTCCACATAATTGTACCAGCTAATCAGTGTATAAAGTTCCATGATAAAGTGTCTTATTGTCCAACTACTTTAAGCTGAAATTGAAGGTATAATTGTTAAATGGATTTAAAACACTCGTTTTATTTGTCTATATATTTTTAATAAAGATTAGAAAACCATGAACGAACATTTGTTTTTATAATATTTATTTCGTACTCACATATGCAGAAAAGTAAACTTGGACATGGAGACAGTCCTCAGTGTGCCTGTGAAGCTGGTGGTAAAAGTTCCGAACCAGAAAATAGGAGACAAAACAGTTGACTGTGAGTTGAACTGGACAGTAGAAAGATTAAAAAATCACTTGTCGGATGTCTACCCGTGTAAGCCGGTAAGCTATCTCATTAGCTCGTTCTTTCTTTACACATTTGTCATTTCCGTAGTTAACGTTATGTCATGTAAAATAGATTTTAGGAATTAGTTTTGGTATAGATTACTTTTTTACCAGTTTCAGATTTCTACGGTGTACTTAATACGTTGGAAAAGAGTATTTATACAAATGATTATATTTGATAAATCTGAGTAAAAAATTATATGTATGAATCTTTTTAACTGCTTAGCCAAGAGTGACAATACTCGGAATGTAAACTGTAACCAAAAGGCTTCTGTAGTTGTAACTGAAAAATTGTCTGGTACTGATGCTTAGTATGTTTTTAACTTCTTAGTCTCTGCTTGCCACCAAGGGATTAATATCTCCGTGAATCGGGTAATTCCAATATTTTGCATGGAATGCTCAAGGTCTGGAATATTGATACTATCTTCTCTTGTAGAAATGAAAAAGAATAAAATATTTAAAAGCTCAGCCATTTTATAGTCTTCAAGAAAAACCTTGCCATCAGCATCCTTTAAGGGCCCAGCCCCATTCTTGAATTTTTTGCTTACCTTTAACATACTTTAAAAAAATATTGTTGTTAGTTTTAACATTATCAGCCAGCTGTTTCTTATAAGCCCTTTTGGGCTTCTTCATTTCTTTTTGGTCAAATCCCTAGTCTTTTCTGTAGTTCCATAAATTTTCCAGCGAAAAAATTTAACGTTTATAATGTGTGTTTTTAATATATAATAAAAAAAGGGTTAGTACATTTAGTGTTTTATTGTGTATGTAAAATGTTTATTTATACAGATATTTAAAAGAAAAAGGATGTATGCATATATGTAAAGGGATAATTTAAACTTTATATTCCTAGTTCTAAAAATATTAAAGTGAAATAGAATTAAATTAAATTTCACAACTACAGATTTCAAACTTTAAAAAATAATACTGTTTTGGTGAAATACAATTTAACATCAATATTTATCTGTAATTTTAGCTATTATCCCGATTAGTGATTGATGATAAATGATAATTATGTTCTAGATGTACTTCCGCAAGGTCCCGGAGAGAGTTCCATTTAAAGAGTAAATAAAATCAAAATTGAGAGTATTTTTTATTTCTTGCTTTTGATGTTCATATATGTCATGCTGTGTTATAGCCTACAGAGTGCATAATTCTTCTCGCGATTCATGGCATGCATACGTTTTACATGTTCCTTATGCAACGTCATTTTATACTGTATACTGATTGACTGACAGACAACATACTACTGTGTAGTGGTGCAAGTGGTTAAGACAGATGACCCTTCCAGCCATCCTTTGGCCCTGTTTTGGGGAAATTATGATACATACATACAAAATAATTTGTTCATATCGTGAATGAATATATTTAAAGCTGTCAAACTTACAAGTTTTAACTAAGATTCCTTTTATGTTATTTTATAAACTGTTGGAAATCTCGGAAAAATATAGATTGTTCTCAAGTTTTTTTAACGAACGTGTGTAGAAACTAAATTTTTTCAGTGTAATTATAAGAGCATCCAGAATCCTTATTCTTAACTTAAAAACACACAGGTTGTGTTATGGTCATGAAATTTGCTAATCATACACTGTTGGAATTCCATTTCTTACAATGTATAATATGAATAGTATACTTTGACTTACATATGCTTTTGGTATAATTGCTTGTGACATTTTTAATGTGCCATTTCATATACTTAACTGATTAGTTAAGTATATGAAAGAAAAAAAAATGCATGAAAGAAATATGGTGAGTTTACTTATTAAAGTAGGGTTCTTAAAAAATCTGAACCCTGAGTATTTCATGCACATATTTCAGAGTTTGTTTACAGAGTTGAATTATACAGGTAAATTCATGAACAGAACATTTGATTCACTTGTGTGAAACAAAAAAAGTATTGATTTTAGTGTTTTACCAATGTTTCTGACTTTAGAGTAATTGGCAACATCAAACATTTACATTTTGAGACAGGTGTTAAGTTCATATTCATAGTGTTATTACAAATTTATTTGACACATGAACAATAATTGAAGAGTTCATGGATGTCATGTGGTTTCCTTTTTGGGCAGAAACCTCAGTTTCACAACTATCAATGGAATAAAAGAGTGCTAACAGATTAACTTGTATATTAGTCAGGCCCTCGTTTGTAAGGCAGTTTATATTTGTTCATGAACTGCAGCTTTAAAGACAAGTGGTAGTTAGCGGTCAGACTGATTCTTGTAAGAAAGAAAGTCTACTTGGACTTGTAATTATTACATAATGATCACGTGCGCTTGTTTTAAAGTGGTGAAAATTGATGTCTTTTACCACTTTGAAAGTGAGTATTCATCAGAATACATTACAATGTTACAAATAACAATATATTCATTTTTCACACCCACCACAGAGTCATAAACATCAACACACACACGTATGACAATATGATAACCTTTTACCTGAGTGTTTCCAAAGATGACCCTTTCTTTGTAGTTTGCTCCTAAAAGATCACCTTTTGAAAATGCTTAGGTTACAGGGTATTGTATTTTTGTGTTAAACTGACTTCTTGAATCTATGTATTTTTCTAACATCATGAATGTGCATACGTGTTTACACATTGAAAATATCCAAAACTAATAGGGTATTATTATGATATGAAAGCAAAACATGATTGTTATTGGGGCATCTTTATCAATACTAATTTTGTTATCCAAAGAATTTAACTCAGATTTCAAAGCTTTATCCTCAGAATTTGATGCCCAAAGGTGTTTCACCCCCAGGTTTAAAATCCTGCAAAAACCCTGCAAGGAACACGATCCTCGCCATATGTCATTCAGTTAGCTTTAAACTACCTAGTTGCTCAATATGGAAGATATGTTTAAGTGTAACAATTACAGTGTTAAGATTTGAATATGAATCAACCAACTGGTCAATGTTGATGTTTGTCAAGCAATCGTACATAATTTTATGATGGCTTCAAAATGAAGACACAACGTCTGGAGAGGTCTGTTTTTGAATAACATATGATAAAAATTATCCTGTGTAGTTTGTTTAGCAATGTTTTATTTCTTTTTTTATTTTACTTAGAAAGCAGCAGATCAGCGACTAATTTACTCTGGCCGACTTCTGCACAATCACCTTAGACTGAAGGATGTTCTCAAATACATAAATACATCTGTAAGACAGAACTTCTTATGATTGAACGCACTCGTATAATGAAACATTAATAAAACATAAACATTAGTTGATAAACTTCAAAGTATAAAATTATGTATTTTGTTATCCTTCCAACAAATTATTGTTTAAAACCAATGAGAGAACACACACACACACACACACTGTTCAAGTTGTGTGTAATTTAATTTTTTAATGTCAACTGTGTATGATAAAAATTTGAACTTTGGCTGGCGATGTATTGATACTTTGCTTTAATTCTTAAATAATACAGTGGTATTTTTAAACTTAACGTTCAAGTTAAGCTTCAGATATTAGTTTGTTTACTAGAATGTATTTTAAAACCAACATTAAGAAGAAAAATTATTGTTTAAAACTGTAGTTTCTGTTTAATACACTGTATTAAAGAAAGCATAATCTAAAAATATGAAGAATAAAAAGATTCTAGAGCAACTAGTAATAAAAGTGAATCAAAACAAACATTAATATCCTCTCTACGCAACAAAGAGCTATTGCTTCTTGCACTGCCGTGAAGATTTTTTGCATGTTACGAGCCTTAAACGAAGCTTCCCACCTTTTCTCGTGTTTGTAATTATTACACCAGCTAGTGATGTAATCATTATTGGACTATAGCCATCCACCAGTAGACGGACCCTCAGTGTGCGGTAATCCTCATGAGCGCTAGAATTAGAACAAAGGCTCATTCAGTCTTCTACATCACAGATCTTTACACTTTTTTTTGTTTGTCAGGAAATATTGGAATTTTTTATATTATTTTAAACATTTTAACCATTCATAGTGTGGTCTATCTTTCCTTAATTTTAAGAAAGAAAGATGCCTAATTTTTAAACTTTTCAGTTAGGACGTTGATTTGAATTATCTTCACTTTGATTTTTCTTTTAATCAGATTTTTTACTTTTTTACAATTTATTATGAGCAGTAAAGTCCTCATTATGTTAAAATCTGAGACACCGATTGATCAGAAGTCAGAGATCTGTATTGAAATTGGCAGTTAGGCCTCACTTATCTGAAAAAGTTATTGATTTTCTGGAAAGGTTTAGAGAAGAACTTGTCAGATTATTCTGGAGATGGAAGGATTATCATTTAGGGATAGGTTAAGATCTCTTGTGATATATTTTTGAAAGGGTAAAAGGTGATCTTACTGAAGTTTACAAGATTATCTGGGGTTTCAATAGGATAAAGGCTACTAATTTTGTGTGTGTGTTTTAAAGGCAATAGGATGAGAAGATTAAGATGTGTAAAAGGCAGGCTAGGTTCCAGGTAACACAATTTTATTTTTCTAACAGGGTGTTTGGCTTTTGGAATGAGTAGCCATTGGCAGTAGTGGAGGCCAGTACTTTACTGAAGCATAAAGGTTGAATTTAAAGTTTTACTACTTTCAGTAGTGGGTGTGGAAGGACAGTCTTGAAGGACCAAATGGTCTTGTTGTCAATATGTTATGTAACTTATATTTCATTGAATAAGTATGCAAATTGCATCACCTATCCTTGGTATTTTAAGTTGTTTTAATTGAATTTGTATATTACTATTTGCACCCCAGTAGCTCAGCGGTAAGTCCATGGGCTTATAACTAAAAAGAAAAAGAGATTTCAATACCACTTGTGGTCACAGCACAGATAGCCCATAATGTAGCTTTGTACTTAACAAAAACAAATTATCATTTGTGTTAGGCTTGATTCACAACCATTTCTTTTGCACACATTTTTTTTTTTCCAAGCGTATGAAAGAAATTCCAAAATGTTACTTTGTTTTATCTATTAAAAGTAATTATTTGGTGAAGTTAAAGCACTTAGCCAGTCTCTCATGAGTTAAATAATTATTTAAAAAAAAAGGAGTATAATGTTTAATTTTTCTTGTCATTATTGTGGCAGTAACTGCAAGTAACTGAATTTTATTCACGAAATTGAAAATTCTTAACATTAGCTAAGCTTTCAGAAAAAGCAATAATAGATACATAAATGATTCATTTCTGAGTCTACATATTCAGTAGGATTATCAATGTTTCATAACTTTGTGATTAATCCCAGTTAAGTGTCAAACCTTTAGATCAAAACGTAATGAGTAGTGTATGTTGTACCTTTATGACAAGTGTTAATTTTGCATGTGAGTGAGTTTGCAGTACTTGGAGATTTATTAGGCCTAATAAGTTTGATTGCATTCACCTTTAGCACCCTATGTTATTGCTACTTTCCTTTATGTGCTTCAAATCAATTGTTTCTCCAGCCTAGGGGGTTAATCTGTGGTATTTAACAAATGGCCTTCTGGGCAGTGACTCATGGAAATCAGAAAATAGATTTGAAATAAAACTTTTACACAATTGAAATTCACAGTGGAAATTATCTGCAGTTCATTGTGATCTTAATCACAAGTTATAGGTCTTTGAATTTTCACACAACTTGTAGAACTGTGCAATTGGTAGATGTTTTCATATTAGAGAGTACAACAATTCCCTTACTTGGAATCTCTTATATTTCAATAACAAGTGTTGTAATGTGTACAAAAGATACAACAGGTGTTATAGAAATAAATACATTTGTGTTTGGTGTATATAACCCTTTTCATTACCGTATTTTTCGGAATATAAGACGCACCCTTATTTTGAAGACAGAGTTTTAGGGTAAAAAAAGACTACAGTCGCATTTGAAAGATTTTT